TAAGTTAATTTTTGTGTATGGTGTAAGATAGTCTAGTTTGTTTTTTTTTATCCTCACCTGAGGACATTTTTCCATTTTTTATTCAGATAGAGCGGGAAGGAGAGAGAGGAAGAGAGAGAAACATCGATGTGAAAGGGACACATCGAGTGACCGCCACCCACACAACCCAACCAGGGCCAGGGACAAACTGCAGCCAAAGTACATGCCCTTAGCAGGAACTGAACCCGGGTCTCTGTGGACCGCAGGCTGACGCTCTAACCGCTGAGCCAAACTGGCCAGGGCAATAGTCTAGTTTTATTATTTTGCATGTAGCTGCCCAGTTTTCCCTACACTATTTAATATTGAAGAGACTATCTTCTCCCTATTGTATATTCTGTCTCCTTTGTTATAAATGAATTGACATATATATAACATGGGTTATTCTGCGCTTTAATATATTTTTTTCCACTGATCTATTGTCTGTTTTTATGCCAATACCATACTTTTTTGTTTTTAATCCTCACCCAAGGATATTTTTCTATTTATCATCAGATAGAGGGGGAGGGGGAGAGGGAGGGAGAGGGAGAGGGAGAGAAACATTGATATGAAAGGAGACACATTGACTGGTTGCCTCGTGCATGACCTGACCAGGGCCAGGGACGAACTGCAACTGAGGTACATGCCCTTGACTGGAATCAAACCTGCAGGCAGACGCTCTAACCGCTGAGCCGAACCGGCCAGGGTTTTTTTTTTTGATGACTATAACTTTATAGTTTAGTTTGAAATCAGGGCCTGGCAATTTCTTTTCAATTCTTTTCTCATTTGGATTCTGTTTATTCTTTTATTTATTGATTCCTATTTAATTCTAGGCAGTTTCCAGTAGTTTCCTGAGAAAGGGTAGAAAGGATGCATAGGAGATAACTTTTTTGAGGTCTTGTAAGTCTAAGGCTATTTTGATTTTGTCCTAGAATTATATAATAAATATATAAAAAAATTTATTTATTTATAATTGAAGCCAACATTGCTTCATTGTCTTGCAGCCCCCAGTGGTGAAGTCCCACACTATCTGATTCCTGATCTTTTGTATGTCCCTCTTTGAAGCTTTTAAGATCTTATTCTTGGCATGAATGTTCATGATAATGTACCTTATTGTGGGCTTTTTCTTTATTCTTTGTAAATTTATATCATCTCAGATAAGATGTTGAAATTGTTGCAACCAAGAAATAACAACAGTATACTATTAAAAAGCAACATTCAGAAAACAAAAAAGAGCTCCTGGAAATTAAAACGACGACAACAAAAATGGAAAACTCAGTAGAGGAGGAGTTAGAAGATAAACTGGAGAAAATCTCCTTGGCCGGTTGAATAAAAAGTCAAAGAATAGAAATTGGGACGGGAAGGAAGTGAAGCGAAAAGAAGAGGAGAGAGGTAGAGGGAGAAGGGAGTTGGAGGAGAGGGAGAACAGTAGAGCACAGAATCAGGAAAATTTGGTGATCAATTCAGGTGAGGTTTAACATGTTAATAACAGGTATTTTAGTAAAAGAACAAAATGGAGGGAATAGAAATTTTAAAAGGAATAATATGGTGTTCTAGAATTAAAGGATGTGAGTTTTTGTCTTCTGCTAGGAGCTTTTTGCAAAGGTCTGGTGGTCCTTGACCATCTGTAATTAACAGTGAGCCTCTAGAAATCTGACTGGGACCTTTGTAAGAGGTGAGCCTTGTGTATTGTTTTGGATCATAAAGAGGTGATATGGCGCCCTGGCCGGTTTGGCTCAGCGGTTAGAGCATCGGCCTGTGGTCTAGAGAGACCCGGGTTCGGTTCCTGCTAAGGGCGCGTACCTCGGTTGCAGTTAGTCCCCGGCCCTGGTTGGTTGTGTGGGTGGCAGCCACTCGATGTGTCCCTTTCACGTCGATGTTTCTCTCTCTCTCTCTCTCTCTCTCTGTCTCTCTCTCTCTCTCTCTCTGTCTCTCTCTCTCTCTCTCTCTCTCCCCCTCTCTCCCTCCCACTCTATCTGTACAAAAAATGGAAAAATGTCCTCGGGTGAGGATAAAAAAAGAGGTGATATGGCAAAATGATTTAGCTATTTTGTTGCAACTTCTTTTTTTTTTTTATCTTCTCCTGAGGATATTTTTCCATTGATTTTTAGTTAGACTGGAAGGGAAGGAGGGGTGGGGGAGAGGGAGAGGGAGAGAGATCATGAGAAAAGGGAGAAACATTAATGGAGAGAGACACATTGATTGTTTGCCTTCTGCAGGGCACTGACTAGGGCCCGGGATTGAATCTGAAACGAGGTCTATGCCCTTGACTGGGAATCAAACCTGAGACTCTTTGGTCGGTTCAAGACTCTGGTCGGTGGCCCAATGCTCTACCCACAGAGTCAAACTGGCCAGTGCTGTTGCAACTTCTAAATGCCTATATTTGCAGATGTTTACTCTTGGGCAGTCAAATTCCCCAGAGAAAAATTCTTTGAACTCCTGCCTCGGGTGGGTGGGTAGAAGTTTGCTGAGGCTCCAGCAGGGTGTGAGTGAGGGCTAAAGAATTTCTCTGTTTAGTATGGTTTACACTTTGATTTAAGTACCCATTTCCAGTAAGGTAGAGGACTTCTTACTCAGCAGAGTATGGAATCAAACGTCTTTATTCTTTCTGGTTTATCCTCCCCAGATAGTGTACTTCCTATCTTCTGTGGGGGCAGGAAGAGCATTGGAGCTGGTGGAGGGAACAGCACCTGGGAGTGTTAGGTGCTTTCTCTAAAGACTTTCAACCATTTCTTTAGTTATCTCTCTCACCCCTTTCTTCAAGGTAACTGGTGCTACTAATTTCTGAGCCTTTCAGGGATTCTGCTGAGAGAATCTGCTTAGTTCTGGATGGCCCATCTCTTGCCAGATGTCTTAGTGCAGAGGAATTCAAAACCTGAGACAGTTCTCGTTTGTTTGTTTTCCTTCCACTATTTTTGACAACTCTTGTCTGCTGTTATATTATTTCTCATCATCTTTGTCCTGTAAATTTATAACTTTTAAACTTATTTTTGCTCTACTTTTAGTGAGGCTTCATGAAGAAATAGAGGTAGATGTATGTGTAAACACTAACCTTAAAGAATTTGTTTATTCTGTAATTTGAATGGCACACACACTGGGCCCAGTACTCTTCTTGCTGCTAGAGGTATGGTAGTGCACAAAGCAGACATTCCTGCCCTTGTGGAGTTTCAGTGCTAGTAGTGAAGACAGACACTAATCAAGATAAGTAAAGGTACAGTATGTTAGATAGTGGGGCTTGTTAAGGAGAAAAATTAAAAAGGAAATATCGTGTGGAGAATTGTAATTTTTTTTAGGTAGATGGCAATGGAAAGCTTTATTGAGAAGGAGCCATTTGAGTAAACACCTTAAGAAATGAGGGACCTGATTGCACAGATATTTAGGGAAAGAACATTATAGGCAGGAAGAGGAGTCAGAACCAAGGCCCTGAAGTAGCAGTATGCCCAGCATGTTTGAGGAGTAGCAAGGAGGGCCAGAATGGTGGGATCACACTGTAAGGACTGGCCTGTTATACTGAATATGGTTGGAGGGTTTTGAGCAAAGGCAGAATGTAGTCTAACTAACCTTATTTATAACAGAGCCGTGGTAGCTGTTATATTGAGAATGGGGGTGAGGAGTGGTAGGCAGACCAGTTAAGCTATTGCAATATTCCAGGCCACATAGAATTTTCGAATGGTTGGATTCTGGATTTGCTAATGAATTCGGATGTGGGATGTGAGACAAATCCAAGATTATTTTAAGGTTCATGGCTCCTGTGTGCTTTTGAAACGGTAAAACTTTGGTTTCATGTAAGTAGTAAAGTCTGTTAAATGACTGCTTTGATAAAGAAGAGCCACAGAAGGTGCTTTCCCTCCTGGGAGCATGTCTGTGCCTTTCTCTTCCCCTTTTTATTCCCCCAGGGGAACAGTGGGCAGCTTCACCTCCTCTGGGGCTAAACCCCTGCATCTGTCTCCAAGGCTCCCTTTTCTCTGACTTCCCGGTGAGCCAAAGCAGCGCAGCCTGGGCTCTAGTGTTGCTTCTTATGCGAAGCCCTTCCTTGTTTCACTGGCACCAGCTTTAATAAACATACTTTAAAAAAAAAATTGCTACAGAAATACTTTTAAGTAATTTTGCCTTATGAACTATATAATTCTTCTTCTTTTTTTTAAAGCTCTTCACAGAATATGGTCGTCTGGCAATGGATGAAATTTTCCAAAAACCCTTTCAGGTAGAATGTTAACTATAAATGTCATTCATAGCTTTATTTTAGTTAAGAGATAAACAAACTGCAGCTCATAGGCCAGTTTTGGCCAGCCACCTATTTTTATGTGACTTATGAGTTAGGAATGGTTTTTACTTTTTTTTTTTGGTATGTGCCCATAGCGGGAACTGAACCCGGACTCTCTGGTCCACAGGCCAACGCTCAACTGCTGAGCCAAACTGGCCAGGGCTGTTTTTACATTTTTAAATGGTTGAAATAAATTAAAAGAGGAATAATATTTGATGATGTGAAAATTATCTGAAATTTAAATGTCAGTGTCTATAGCTAAGGTTTCATAAGAACACAGCTATACTTATTTGTATTGCCCATGGTTGCTTTATGCTACAGCAGCCTAAAATATTTACTCTGGTCATTTATAGAAAAAGTTTACTGACCCCTATTTTAGCTAATTATTTTATGAGGATGAAAGTGCACAGTGACCTCAATAAGATTAGAGGAGCTTTAAGTATTATTTAGTTTTCTTTTTCTTTCTAATGTTGAAAGTAGATCTGATATATGAGCGGCTAGTGCCATATTGTTTTCTCTCTTGTCCTTTACTACATTCCCTGTACTTGCCTTTAGTATACAAGTCTGTAAGTTTTCTAAGACATTACAGAATAGATCAAACCCTTAGCATGTTTTCTTGTCTCCTTTGAAGAAGCTGGCATTGTGCCAAGAAGTATTTCAATTGTTATTTAAAAATGCATTTATGCAATCTTATAATATGTACTGATTTTTTCCTAAATAGACACTGATGTTTTTGGTTCGAGACTGGAGCTTCCCTTATGAATACAGCTATGGACTACAGGGAGGAATGTCATTTTTAGATAAGCGTCTACAGGTAAGTAGAAATATAATATGAAGAATTACCTAAAAGCAGTGATAACTTTCTCATTTACCTTAGCTATATTTCAAGCAGGTTACAGAACATTATATTAAGTGTGTTAAATACTTATTCCTATTAACATACACTACTATTATTCATGTTTTATTTCATTTATTTTTTGTTAATCCTCACCTGAGGATATTTTTTCATTGATTTTTAGATAGAGTGGAAGGGAGGGAGGGATAGAGAGAAACCATAGATGTGAAAGAGACATATCGATTGGTTGCCTCTCATATAACCCTGACTGGGCCGGGGACCACACCTGCAACACAGGTATGTGCCTTTGACCAGGAATTGAAGTCGAAATCCTCCAGTTCTTGGGCTAAAGCTCTAACCGCTGAGCCAAGCTGGCCAGGGCTTATTTGTGTTTTAAAGAACCCGGGTATACAATGCACAGGGATTGTAGAGAAGAACTCTGGGCAAAAGCCCAAGCTTTGATTGTAATTTCCATTTCACATTTTACAGCAGGTCCTGTATATGCCTTTTGAATGCCAAATTCGGAGCTTTAGTCTGTAATTCTTATTTAGAATTTTTATTTTAGGTTGAATATAAACAAGCTTAATTAGTTTTTTCTCCAGAATTAAAACACAAGAGTTCTTTGTCAGTCATTACTATGTTAGATCCTCCTCTATGCCCACAAACCTGTTGTTCTTCCTAAATATTGTGTAATACTCTTTCTTTAGAGAAACTCTTTAGTACCTATTCTTTGGTAGCTATAGGAGTCAAGCTATGGTTAATCAAATTTATGCATTTATTGCTTCTTACGGTTCTGAGTTTTTCTGTTGGAAAAAACATAGGCCACCCACTATGACCCATTAGAGTTGGGAAGTCTTCTTTCCTTTATCCTATACTAGTGGTTCCTAGTGAAGAGAAACAAATGGTCTTTTGTAAATTGTTGGTCTTCATTGGCAGGTGAAGGAACATCAGCATGAAGAAATTCAGAATGTCCGAAATCACATTCATTCATGTTTCTCCAATGTCACCTGTTTTCTTCTGCCACATCCAGGACTCCAGGTGGCCACAAGCCCTGAATTTGATGGGAAATTGAAAGGTGTGTTACAAATGATGTTATTTTGAACTTGTGATTTGATCTTTGGAATTAAATAGTGACCAGAAAATGTCAATTAAAAATTTAGTGAATGCTTACGAGAAATAGTGTGTTCCCTTAGAAAGAGTAGTATTTTAGAGTCTGGTTCAGTTTTTGCTCCTGCCTTACTGTGACTATTAGAATTAGAATTAGCTCACCTTAGTTTCTCCATCTGAAATAGTGGTGGCAGTATCCATTAATGATCTTTCTAAGAGATATGCTATGATGATTGGTATATAGAACCAGGTAAAAGTGCTAAGTAAAAAAAGACTAAACATTAGTCAGCTAATGTTTATCAAGTAAACTTCCCAAAGAAAGGTAACATGATGCATGACATGGCTATTGTTTTCATCTTACTTGTGATTATAACAAAACCTGATGCAGAGTCATGTGTTAATATCAGGAAGTGCTGACTAAACGGTAGCTTAGAGAAATCGGAGTTGGGACTCATGGGTTCATTATCTTATTTTTGTTCCTTACTCATTGAGACCTTGAGTCATTTAATGGCTAGCCCTCAGTTTACCCATGTGTTTAAGCGCTTTTGCTTATAAACTTATCTGAGTTTCTCAGGTTCCCAGTAAAGTAGAAATGATACTAGTTGCCATTTTTATTTTTATCCTTTTTAATTTTCACATCTGATTTTTTAAAAATATATTTTTATTGATTTTTTTTTTTTTTTTAGAGAGAAAGGAAGGGAGAGGTAGAAACATTGATTGGCTGCCTCCTGCACGCCCCCTACTGGGGATCGAGCCCTTAGCCCAGGCATGTGCCTTGACTGGTAATCGAACCAGGACTTCTCAGTCCATGAGACGATGCTTAATCCAGGCTAGCTGGCAGTAGTTGCCATTTTTAGATGTCTAGTTGTGTTCCCAACTGTCTTAGTCTGTTTTGGCTGCTACAACAAAATACCATAGACTTGGGTAGCTTATGAACAATAGAAGGCTGGAAGTCCAAGATCAGAGTGCCAGCATGGTAGATGAAGGGTTATCTTCCTGGTCTTAGAGTTCTGGTTGTATCTTCATATTGTGGAAGGGGGTAGGGAGCTCTGTGGGACATCTTTTATAAAGACACCAATCCCGTTCATGAGGGCTCTACCCTCATGATCTAATCACCTCCCAAAGACCCCACCTACTAATGCCATCACCTATAGGGGTTAGGATTTCAACATATGATTTTTGGGGGGTGGGGGAAGACAGAACATTCAGACCATAGCACCAACACTATGATAGTTACTTTCATATTTAGTGCTTCCAGTAATTCCATGAAGCTGATATTATTTCCTTTATTATACAGATGAAGAAACTGGTTTAGGAAAGTTAAGTAACTTGCTCAGAGAACATAGCTAGTAAGTGGTGGGGCAGAGACTCACATCCAGATCCTTCTTGTCCCAAATCTATACTGTGCTAAAATAGAACTTCTGTTATATTGGAGAAGTAATTTAGAGGATATATACTATTTAGTTACCAGGAGAACTTGACTCAGTTAATCCAAGAAAGTTAATGTACTTGATCAGCTTAAGACTTACATTCCAGCTGATTGTAATACTGCAAAAGAAAATGGGTTTAAGAGACTTACCTTTACATTCTTTTTGTCACTTGTATGATGTTTTTATGTGGGGGAAGCTTTCTAGAGCAGACTTCCAGAGACTATTAGATGGCATTTCAAAAGTCCAACTTTGGGGCCTGGCTTTGGAGAGAAATCTGCTTAGGCAACACTGGAGCTAGAACCTTTAACTAAAAAGCAGTTGTGACTGACTTTTCAGAGTTGAGTATGGAAAGAAAGTTGAATGTGTAGGTGATGTGTCTTTTAGGGTTATGAACACCATTGTTAGACATACTTTTACCAAACCTACACTCTGGTTTGTTCCTCACTGGTAGGGAAGTTGTTCAGCTGCCTCCTGCATGCGCGCAACTAGGCACCTGCCCCGACCAGGAATCAAACTGACAACTTTTTGGTACATAGGACAACGCTCAACCAACTGAGCCACATTGGCCAGGGCTCAGTGAAACTCATAAATGAGGATGTTTAGGAGAGGGTGGGTTAGAGTGATTCTGCATGCTTTTCGTCTTGCTTTAGGGTGGTCCCAGATTATCAGGTATCATATACCAAAATTTCTTCATATTTTCAAACATTTTAATATTTCAAAACATTGTGTTTTAAAACTCATTTTTATCATGTTATTCTAGGAAATAGGAGGAGCTTTGTGAAGTCCTATAACCTTGATTTCTGAAATTTTGTATCACTTCTGGGTATGCATATTATATTTATTTCTAAGGACTTCTGTGACAACATACCAAAAACTGGGTGGCTGAAGATAACAGAAATTTATTCCCTAACAGTTCAGGAGACCAGAATTCTGAAATCGAAGTGTCTGCAGGGTTGGTTCCTCCTGTAGGCTCTGAGGGAGACTCTATCCTGTGCTTTTCTCCTAGCTTCTGGTGGTTGCTGGCAATCCTTGGCATTCTTGGATCTGTAGTTGCATCACTCCAGTTTCTCTCTGTGGTTACATGGCCACCTTCTCTGTGTGTTCTCTCTTTTTATAAGAACACTGTTCTTTGGATGTAGTTCCCACCCTAATCCAGTATGATCTCATCTTAACTAATTACATCTATAAAGACTATTTTCAGCCTGGCCAGTGTGGCTCAGTGGTTGAGCATCTACCCATGCACCAAGAGGTCACTGGTTTGATTCTCGGTCAGGGCACATGCCCAGGTTGTGGGCCTGATCCCTGGTGGGGGGCATGCAGGAGGTGGCCAGTCTATGTTCTCTCTCATCAATGTTTCTATCTCTCTCCTCCTCCCTCTGTCTCTAAAATCAATAAAGAAAAAAAAAAAAGACTATTTTTAAATAAGGTCACATCTGAGATTCCAGTTCTATGTGTATTTTAGGGGAGATAGTGTTCAACCCAGTTCACATATGTACAGATTATGAATGGTTTATCACTAAATACTAAGTGTGCTAAGTTTCATATTTATTACATTAATAAAATAGGGAATAGCCTGGCTGGTGTGGCTCAGTGGTTGAGAGTTGACTCATACACCAAGAGGTCGCCAGTCTGATTTCTGGTCAAGGCACATACCCAGGTTGTGGGCTTGATTCCCAGTGGGGGACATGCAGGAGGTGGCCAATTGATGTTTCTATCTCTCCCTCTCTCTTCCTTTCTCTTAAAATCAATCAGTCAAAAAATAAAAAATAAAACAGGAAACAAATTTTGTATAAGCAAGCTTTAGTTTCATTAATTATGTACCATTTGCTTCCTTCATCCATGATTGAACTATAAACACATTTATAGGGTTAAAATCTTCCTTTCTGCCCTGACAGTTTGGCTCAGCAGTTGGAGCATTGGCCCACGGACCAAAGAGTCATGGCTTTGATTCTGGTCAAGGTCATATACCTTGGTTGTGGTTCAATTCCCTGGCCCTGGTCAGGGTCGTGCAAGGGGCAATCGATGTGTCTCTCTCATTGGTGTTTCTCTCTCTTTCTCTCTCCCTCCCACACTACCTGAAAATCAGTGGAAAATATTCTCAGGTGAGGATATAAAAAAAAAATCTTCCTTTCTTACATGAGAAGGCAGGTCCCAAAGGAAGAAATACAAATGATCAGTATCAGTATATATCCGTGAATATATGTGTAGCATCACAATAATCAAGGAAGTGCAAGTGTATTGGTACAAAGTCATACAGTCTTTATCAAGATTGTCTCTATCATGAGACTTGTCTATTCTGAATATAAAACTAATATTTTGGTGCGGCCATCATAGAAACATTAATAGCTGAAGGTCTATAGAACTGGGTATAATAACAGTCTGTGGTGTCCGATCTTGCTGATTTCTTGTATGAAATGTTTTTGAAGCTCTTAATCTTTTAATATGATGAAAATTGAAACCATAAAAACAATTGTTTTTTTTTTAGTATAGGTAATACATTCACATGTTTAAAATTTTAAAAAGGATTCAGAAGTATAAAGTGAGAAGTCTTGCTTCTATTTTTGTGGTTTTCCCAAATTTCTTAAAAAAATTTTTTTTTTTTCTTTATTGATTTTAGAGAGAAGGGAGAGGGAGAGAGAGAAACATTGATGAGAACATCGATTGGCCACCTCTTGCATGCCCCCGTATTGGGGATTGGCCCACAACCTGGGCATGTGCCCTGACTGGGAATGGAACTGGCGACCTCTTGATGCATGGGTTGACGCTCAACCACTGAACCACACCAGCCAGGCCCAAATTTCTTCAGTATATGCAAGAAAATTAGAACATACACAATAGCATATTATGTACACTGTTTTACGTGTTTCACTCTAAGGTTATAAAGAATTTGTCCCACTTTTTTTAAACCTGTAGTTTTATTTTTCACATTATAATTTATGATCCAGTTTAGATCCAACTTATTTTATGAATGGCTACCCATTTGTCCCAAACAGTGTTTATTGAATAGTACAACTTTCCCTCACTGGTTGAAATGTCACCTTTATCATATATTAAGCCATTAATCAATGTGTAATATGGAGTTTAATTCCTTTTTAAAGTTGGAGTAGGCCATTCTTTGGCACCATCCTGAGGAGATTATATAATTAATAGTATTTACATGGAGATTGGTACCTGTTTACTTAGGACAGATAAAAATTTAAAAAAATTTTTATGTCAGGAACTCTTATGAATGACCAGTTATTTAAAATGGGATGGGTCTGGCCAGTGTGGCTCAGTGGTTGAGCATCAACCCATGCACCAAGAGGTCACCAGTTCAATACCCGGTCAGGGCACATGCCCAGGTCGTGAGCCAAATCCCTAGTGGGGAGCATGCAGGAGGCAGCCAATCGATGTTCTCTCTCATTGACGTTTCTATCTCTCTCCCTCTCCCTTTCTATCTCTCTAAAATAAGTAAAAAAAAAAAAAAAAAAAAATGGGATGGGAATCAGTGGCAATGAGAAGTATGTATTACTATTTAGAGAAAAATCTCATGTAGATTTCAACTTATGAGCCATAAATAAATTCTAGATAGATGAAAAAGTTAAATTATAAAAATTAAAACATGGGAAAAAGTATCTCTTATAAACAGCATATATGTGAATTGTAAAAAGTACGTTTGACAATCCTGGTTTTTTAAATTAATAGTTTAGTTTATTTTCTGATTCTTGATATGTTTGGTTTTAGAGCTGTCATCTTGCTTTTTACTTCCTGTTTTACTCTTTGTATACTTTCTCCCCCTCCTGTTTATTATTTGTTTAATTTGTTTTCTTATTTTAATCCCCACCCCCCCCACTAGTATAGAAGTTATACACTCTATTTTTTTTCTTTATTGATTTTAGAGAGAGAGGAAGGTAGAGGGAGAGAGAGATAGAAACATAAATAACAGAGAACATCTATTAGCTGCCTCCTGCATGCCCCCCACTGGGGGTCAGGCCCACAACCTGGGCATGTGCCCTGGCTGGGAATCAAACTGGCGACCTCTTGGTGCATGGGTTGACAGTCAACCAGTGAGCCACACCGGCTGGGCTATCACCCACTCTTAATAACGATGCCTGCCACAAAAAGGTGCTCAAAAACTGTTGAGTCAATAAATGAAATAAGAACGTCTCAATTTTATAAATTAGGGTTATGGAATATTGAAGAGTTCCTACCTTGATGTGAGTTTCTACCTACTTTCTTTTCAATTGATAGTTTTGAGTTAGCTGGAGATTTAGGAAGATGGTAGGTTATGTAAATCAGATTCCTTGTGTCTTAGTTCTCATCTTGAGGAAAGAGTTATATTTAATGGCTCTGCTGAGTCCTCTGTGGAACTTTGTAGAAGTTGCAAAGAAACTGTCACCTTTCTGAGACTGGAGTGTTTTCCTTATGGGGTGGCCCAGAAGGCCTTTCTGAGGAGATGCTAGAAAATAAATATCATGAAGTAAAGGTGCTTCTACTTATTTTAGTATTAAAAAACGAACAAAAAGAAATAAATGGGTGAATTGTGATTTCTAATGGATTAAAGGGAGCATGAGAGTACGGCAAGGGCCTGGTCTGAGAACTTGAGGGGTTGATAATTGATTTTTGAAGACCTAGTTAATGAAACTCTTTAAAAAGTAAAATTTCTTTAAAAGCTAGGGAGTAGACCTGAACCTCCCAGAATGAAATCCAGGTTAAGGATATTCTGCTTATTCTCTTCTGGACTAGGGAGGACTTACTACTGCAGAAGGGAAGGAGACAATCAAGGTACATAAGAACAGCTATCTATCTGTTCTGGTCATAGCCAGAAGTGTCAGACATGTAGTCCAGGACAACTGCCCTCCACTTTGAACTAGCATATGTTAAAACAATTAGATATACAGATTGTGTATTGTGCTTACCTTTGTTGAATAGTCTGTTTGGCTTATTGTTTCCTTTTTCATGGTCCTGTGAACAGATATTGCCAGTGAATTCAAAGAACAGTTACAGATACTGATACCATATGTATTAAACCCAGCAAACTTAATGGAAAAGGAGATCAATGGCTCAAAAGTCACCTGTCGGGGGCTGTTGGAGTATTTTAAGGTAATTACAGGTTTTAACTACTAAAATGTTCGACTTCTGGTAAAACTGGTCTAGATTTAAACGTTTATAACTTGAATTTCAGTATCTTAAAGCTTAGAAAAAACTTTCTTAGAAATGGTGAGAGGCCTTTTCAGACTTTAGTGTCCTTCCAGGAATGGGCCACTGGGTGGCAGTATCGGTCTAAGAACCAAATGGATGTTCTTTGCACTCTCTTAGAGGAGTGATTACTGTGGCTAAAGGAAGATTGTTCTTCAAGGAAGATGGTGTGGAGAGGAGGTGGTTAGGAAGTTGCTGTGAGTAGGAGGAGACGGCACCTAGATGTGACATGACTACCTCAAGGCGGATGGTCATACTGCCCACAGGTAGTGGTGAGGCCAGTGTGCATGGGGAGTCTGGCGGGAATCTTAGCCTTGGTAGTCTCGTCGTGCTGCTTGAGAACATTTTTAGCTAACTAAAAATGCTAACATGCACTCAAGGTGTGTTGTGTTTTTGCTAATTCCTGGATGTTGATCTAGGTCTTCAGGAAAATTCAGTTTGGTTACTGTTTCTACAATTAAAAGTATGATTATGACAGAATAACATTTTTGGTAATTGTTTTTATGTTTATATTTTAAGGCATACATTAAAATTTACCAAGGAGAAGATCTGCCTCACCCCAAATCCATGCTTCAGGTACGCAGTTCTTGCACAGCCTAAGTGATAGCCTTCGATTATGTGAGTTGATCCGGATCCAATGAGTCCTTAGGAAGACAGTGCTGTTGCTCTTCTTTCCCATTATGCTGAGCTCTGTTAAGTTCCAGCATGTTTTCCAGCAGTGTGGCTGCCTTCTGGTTTTTGTCTGTATTCTTGGTGGTTCAGCTTAAACAAAATGGCCTCTCACTGGGCCTGGTCTTCTCACCAAATACACTGTGAAAGTGCTGTTTGATTATTCTCAGATAACACATCCCCAGTTATGTGAGACAGATCATTTTTCTGTTATCTGTTGTATGCTTAACTAGAACGTGTCCTGATGTGTCTTTTTACTATTGACTCATCAGGTTTTATATTTTTAATTAAATTTATTTTCAACATTTTGGTATTTTCAAAGTGTTGTTTTATTAAAACATGATTCTGATTTCCATGTACTGAACATAAGGCCATTTATTGCCAAATGTTTATTCCTTTAGTAGAAAAAACATTTTCACTCAGGAAGCTAGAGTTTGGAATTATTGATGTACAGATAATTTGTTTTCCTTCTTTTTTGACTTACATCTATTTTTTTAACATTTGAAATTGAAGCAAAGGGCCCTGGCCTGGTAGCTCAGTTGGTTAGAGTATGGTCCCATTACACCAAGGTTGTGGGTTTGATCCCAGGTCAGGGTACATACAAGAATCAACCAATGATTGGAAAAACAAAGTGGACAACAAATCCATATTTCTCTTCTCTCTCTCCTCCCTTTCTCTAAAATCAATCAATAAATAAAAATTGAAGTAAAGGAAATTATTTTTGAGAGGTCTAATTTATGATAAAGATTCTTATGTATGAGAATATTTTTGTCAGAAAAGATGTATTTTATTTAATAAATTGGGCTATATGGAAACCTAAAAAATAGCAGAAGGATAATAAAAAAGAAAGAATGGTGAATAAGGTGAGATAAAAATTTTATATGTAGAAGAATGTTAAAAGGGGAAGGATTTATAACTTATGCTTTTCTTTCTTCAAAGGCCACTGCTGAGGCCAATAATTTAGCAGCTGCAGCCTCTGCCAAGGACATTTATTACAACAACATGGAAGAGGTATGTTGGGTATATGTCTTATGAAATATCTATAACCTGGACATTGTTGCTGATTTTAAAAGCCCAAACTTGATTCTTAATTAGGACCTTCTCACTGTTAGGTTTCTAACCAAGGCTCTCTTTTGCAGCGTTACTGCTCTCAGTGAGCAACATGACCCTGGAATTTAAGTGCTCTTTCAGAGGTAGTGAACCCAGACTATTGGTCTTGGTCATCATTTTAAAGCTAATTTCTAATGTCTTAAAATATTCTAAGCTTTTCAGTGTTTTCATTTTTAAAATTTTATTTGGCACTTGTTTTTGAAGGGAACATCAACACATTGCTTCTTTATTCTTTTAGGTGTGTGGGGGAGAGAAACCTTACTTGTCTCCAGACATTCTAGAGGAGAAGCACTGTGAATTCAGACAATGTGCTCTGGACCATTTTAAGAAGACCAAGAAGATGGGTGGGAAGGATTTTAGCCTTCGTTACCAGCAGGAGCTGGAGGAGGAAATCAAGGAACTCTATGAGAACTTCTGCAAGCACAACGGTAGCAAGAACATCTTTAGCACCTTCCGAACCCCTGCAGTGCTCTTCACAGGCATCGTGGCCTTGTACATAGCTTCGGGCCTCACTGGCTTCATTGGGCTGGAGGTTGTGGCCCAGCTGTTCAACTGTATTGTTGGACTGCTTCTAATAGCACTTCTCACCTGGGGGTACATCAGGTATTCTGGTCAGTATCGTGAGCTGGGTGGAGCTATCGATTCTGGAGCAGCTTATGTACTGGAGCAGGTAAGTGGTACCAGCTGTGGAGCCTGATGGTTGACAGTGACAGATATTTGTGTTTCTATTATAAAATATCTCCATTTGGAAGAGCTTCCTAGTAAAAGGCATGAGAAACTTTCCCTTTTCTTTTTATTCTGATAACTATTACGTTTTATTATCCTTTTTAAAAGGATATTAATATTTAATTTTGATATTTTGTTTTCATGTCTGATCACCCTTCAATGCAAAAAATGTTCCAACTTAGACATACTGTGTTCCTCATGAGAAACTTCTAACTATATGTTTTTTCAGACACAATTCCTGTGTGATTCCCTCATCCAAGATTAGTTTGCTTTAGTAAAAATCAAGAGCTTTGAAAAATATGAACTTAACAAAATTTTTTTCCCTCATATTTAAAAAAATCCTCACTCGAGAATATTTTTCCATTTATTTTCAGACAGAGTGGGAGGGAGGGAGGGAGGGAGGGAGGGAGAGAGAGAGAAACATCCATGTGAGAAAGACACATTTACTGGTTGCCTCCTGCACAACCTTGACCAGGGCGGGGGAATTAAACTGCAACCAAGGTACGTGCTCTTTACTGGAATTGAACCCGTGACTCTTTGGTCTGCAGGCCAATGCTCTAACCGCTGAATCAAACCAGCCAGGGCAACAAAATTTTTTGTTTTGAATCCTATTAATGCATGGCATTTCTTTCACTTAAAATCTTCCACAAGCCAGTGACTTTTGACATTGGCATAATCTCTAGGTTTATAGATCCTGAGACCCTGACTGGTTTCTTTTTCTGAGTAGCATGAACAGATCAGTTAAGTTAGAAGCCTGTAGTAAAGCCAAGAGAGCTGCCTACTGCACCCCAATAACAGAGCAAAGGGTCAGTGAACTCTCTTGGGATGTAGCTCCTGCCACAGGCTCCCCTCCCAACATTTTCATTCCCCTATTTTTTTTTTCCCTCACCCGAGGACATTTTTTTATTTTGTTCAGATAGAGTGGGAGGGAGAGAGAAGGAGAGAGAGAGAGAGAGAGAGAGAAACATTGATGTGAAAGGGACCCATCAAATGGCTGCTTCCCGCATGACCCCAGCCAGGGCTGGGGACAAACTGCTGCTGAGGTACGTGCCCTTAGCGGGAACCGAACCTGGGTCTCTCTGGACCGCAGGCCGACGCTCTAACTGCTGAGCCAAACCGGCCAGGGCTCATTTCCCTATTTTTGTAACATACTGATGATGTAGACAGAAATTTTTGAAAGTTTATCTCTAAAGACTTACTCTCTTGATGCTACACTGTATTTTCTTAATTTACGTGTTGACTTGTGGACTTTTTTTGCAGGCTACTTCTCATATTAGTAATTCCACTCAGGCTGCTGTGAGGGATGCAGTTGTTGGGAGACCTGCCATGGATAAAAAAGCTCAATAACATCTTAACAAGAGGATCCAACAGGAACCCAACCAGTCCCTACTGATTTCTGCGTTTCTGCTGCAGCCACAGGATCAGGTCCAGAGGAATGTAGATCTGGGACCATCCATGAGGAGCTGAACATGGCACCAATAAATGAGCAGACCTTTCCTGTGGTTTCAAACTCTTAGACATACTTCCATTTCTGTTGGAAGCATTTCTTTTTCTTTGCTGATGATATAGATCCAAGCCTGTGTCTGTTTTCTTATTACTCTCTGCTTTGTGCACTTTATGGGGGAAAAGCTAAAGGAAAAAATGGACATGCAGTTTTAAGTCCTTTATGTGCCACTTAGTGCCTTTTAAAATTGAATCCGTGCTTTTGCGGGCATGATAGGGAAGGATTGAGGATAGCCTCGTGAAAGACGTTGTTGGGGGTGAAACTCGTCAGTTCTTTTGTACCTTACTCTATTAAGAAGGATTCCTTTTTAAAAGTTTACAAAACTTGCAAAAGCTTCAGAACTAAGGACTGAAAATGAATCCATTACACTTTAAAAATCTTACAATATTAGGGAATCTTGCCTGCCACATAGTGTGGAAAAATCATATCATGTTTAAATCTACCATTCACTGAAATTTCAGGTCTTTTACCTGACAGACTGTCAGTTTTGTTGGAACACATTCTTTGCTTTATTGCTTTTATTCCTATACCTTCTTTTTAGAAAAGAGCAAACAATGCCTTGAAAAGTCAGAGAGGCTCATAATAAAAGGAATGAACTTGATAATTTAAGAAGAAAGCTAGAGTTTAAATGAACCATGTGACCTCTGAGAAGTCACTTGAACCTGTGCCTTGGTCAGTTTCACTGTTCGTGGGTTTATATTCGTATATGTATTATACACTACTCTCACACAATTGTCATTTGAGAGGTTTTGTTTTTGAGAGTTCTACATAAGAGCAAAACGATTATGAATTAGAGGAAAGACATTACCGAACATCACTGCCTTTAAGTGATGTCCTATTGCGCGTGACTTAGCAGTAAATCAGGTCTTTATCCAAAACGTTTATTTGCATTCTGCTATGCACTAATATTTTTAATAATAGAGCTAAAACTGTCCGTTTTATTTAGTGAGTCTTTATTTAACTGTACTTGACCTATCGGGTAGCTTTAAAATAGCTTTGGCTTAGTAAGAACCAAAGTCCCACCCAAATATGGACAATGCCTAGAAGTAGCTAAGAATTTTTTTTTAATTACCTTGATTATGTGATAAAAACTTTTTTTTTTAATCTGTAGTTGCCTTTTTCTTTGTTTTATAATGGTGAATTATTGTGGATTTAAAAACTCCTAAAATTTGCCTGCAAATATTTGTATAAACTTTCAGGTATGTGAGCCTTAATTTTAAAGATAATTTAATTTTTGTGGGAGGGATGTAGGAAGGCCTAGGCAAAATCTGAGTAAATTCTCTATATATAAAGTATGAATGGAAGGTGGGAAAAAGAAAGTTTCTTCTAGCATATAATCTATTAAAGAATTTTTTGACTACTTTAACTCTTAACCATTTAAGTATTTTTGTAAGTCCTGAGTTAATTCCAAGCATTTTATATTTTTCTCATATTTACATATCATCTTGCCCCAAAATTTTTACTATTTTATTCATTTCCAGAATTTTAGAAAAATTCCAGTTTGTTCTAAAAACTGTTTACTTGCATATCAGTGATGCTTAGCTTTGGCTGTTAAATTGAAAGCTTAGTTTTGAAAATATAGTGCATTTTCAGTGGCCTTTCATTTTCCTGAAGATTCATACTTATTAGCTAAATGCCTTACAGATATTAATTAAAAACAAACCTACAAAATCACTAGAGTTCAAATTGAAAGCATCAATATGATGGATGATATTTCACTAGAACTAAATTGCTGATACTGGGTTTAATAAACCTACTATTTGCATGTTTTACTTTTTGCTAAAAAGCCTTACTGATGCATTTTATAAGCATATAAATATAGATTTCAGAATAATTGTCTAGATTGATCCTACTTTTAATGGTAAGAAAAGGATGATGTGTCTAAAACTTATTTTAATACTGAGTATTAGAATTTTAAAAATAAACTCCACGATAATGTATGATTTAATGAAATTTTAGGATTGATTTACTGTTTAAATCCACCATTTCTGTTTTGATCTTAAAGTAATAATTTGGTTTAATTACCCCGGGGCAGCCTTCTTTTTTTTCAGTCTTTATTAGTTAACATATTCTGCCTTTGAAAAGTGTTTATCAAGTTTTCTCAGAGGATTCTTATGAGTTTTCTTTTGCCTCTTTTCTCTCTCAACAGTGAATTGATGATTTTATATTGGCTTTTTCAATAAAAGATGCATTCTCATTACTGGCCTAAATAGTCCTGGGGAGACTTATAACCAGGTTGAAAAGAATGTTTTTTACCTCTTAACTTCTCTCAGCCTTTAATTTGTGGGTCAGGGACATTACTTAGGAGCTCAGACTCTGTTTGCTTAGTGTTTGTTACTCTGATACTCCTGGCTAGCCTTTCCACACAGCATTAAAAAAAAAAAAAATGTTTTATATTGATTTTTTTCTAGACAGAGAGAGGAAGGAAGAGAGAGATAGAAACACTGATGTGAGAATCATTGCTTGGCTGCCTCCTGTACACCCCCGACTGGGGATCGACCCCTGCAACCCAGCCATGTGCCTTGACCAGAAATTGAACTAGGACCTCTCAGTCCATGGGATGACGCTTAATCCACTGAGCCACACCAGCTGGGCTCCACACAGCAGTTTTGTTTTTTTTTATCCTCACCCGAGGACATTTTTTTTTTCCATTTTTTGTTCAGGTAGAGTGGGAGGGAGAGAGAGGAACAGAGAGAGAGAGAAACATCGATGTGAAAGGAACACACCGAGTGGCTGCCACCCGCACGACCAACCAGGGCCGGGGACAAACTGCAACTGAGGTACGTGCCCTTAGCGGGAACCGAACCCGGGTCTCTCCAGACCGCAGGCCGACGCTCTAACCGCTGAGCCAAACGGGCCAGGGCCACACAGCAGTTTTTATTTGCACATTCCTAACAGTATATAGACACAAACTTATTAATAAATAAAAGGAGGTTTTCAAAATTTCTATTAAAATAACTCATTTCAGAAGAGGTTAAATGGCAACTTTAAAAAATTTTTAAAAATACTTCCAATTAGCTTAGAGTAAAAATAACTGAATAATTTTTTTTTTTATTCTTTCACTGAGAAATCTTTCTAGATTAGTTTGTAGACAAAATGAGGGCAAATTAGCATGTTATCATGTATGATGATAAAACATTTTCAGACTCATTTTTTATTAGCAGTATGCTGAGATATCTTCCATGGAGGGTTACGCATTAACACTTCATAAAATTGCCTGTAAATATTGTATTGCTTTACCTGTTATTTACATGAAGTAAAATGCTTTAGGCAAAAAAGAAAATAAGCTGCCTTGTACTGGCAGCATGTTTCTGTAGCAGCCATACCCAGTGTTCTCGTGGCTTATAAAACGGTGTCTCGGTTAGGGTTAAGTTTGGTTGAGTAGATATGTATGTATGAATTATAGAGAAATTGAGTAAACTGATTTAAGTTCAGGCAAAAGCAATAAAAAATTTTATATTTTTCCTAGAGCTTTTTTTTTTTTTTTTTTTTTTTAAAGTAACTTACGTGGAAGTCTCCATGGAACTTTTAAAAAAAAATCCTCACTCAAAGATAAGTTTTGATTTTTTTTTTTTTAAGAGAGAGGGAGGGGGCTAGGGGGAGAAGCATCAATTGGTTATCTCCGGTACCCACCCTGCTGGGATGGAATCTTTAACCTGGGTATGTGCCCTGACTTGGAATTGAACCCACAACCTTATTTGTGTGCAGGAAGATGCTCCCACCAACTGCGCCACCCTGCCTGGGTTTTACATAACTTTTTTTTTTTAACCCTGTAGAACTATTGAAATTTAATTTAGGATGATTTAGGATAGCTGCCACTAAAGTAACCAACATGGGCTACGTCATTCTGGCTTACATTTAGATCCATCAAGATTTTAGTCAAGGGATAAGGGCATAATGAAGACAATCCTCAGTTATGAAAGTACAAACTATTTGTGTAATTTGGTTTTCAGTGACATTAAGGTCCCACTGTAAAAGACCATTTGTAATTGGATAGTTTCTCGTGTTAAATCTTACTATAGCTATGTGTTGGGTAGTGGTTTTTTTTTTTTTAATCCTCACCCGAGGACATTTTTTGATATTTTGTTCAGATAGAGTGGGAGGGAGAGAGAGAGAGAGAAACATTGACGTGAAAGGGACACATCGAGTGGCTGCCACCCACACGACCCAACCAGGGCCAGGGACAGACTGCAACCGAGGTACGTGCCCTTAGCGGGAACCGAACCCGGGTCTCTCTGGACCGCAGGCCGACACTCTAACTGCTGAGCCAAACCGGCCAGGGCTGGGTAGTGGTTCTTATCTACCTTGGAGTACATAAGACTTACCTAGGATTCTTGTTTAAAAAGCTCAAATTACCAGGTTTACTAAAACCCAGGGGTTGCCTCAGTTGGTCTAGGCTCTGGCCCTGGAATCACCACTTTCATAAACAGTTTGCAGGTAATTCAGAGACAGCAGACAGAGGCTGTGCTGTGGTGGGACAGTGCCATTCAGGATGGTCTGGAGGCAAGTGGGCAGCTTTTATTTGAGGTCCAGTTGAGGTGGTCTGCCAGGTACAATCACTGAGAGTAAGTGTTCAGAGTAGTAAGGATGCCTGTATCAGGAGGATTTTCTAAGCTCTTGAAAGCTGTTTTTCAAAATTAGGATGTCATAGTGCCTTCTCTGAAAAATGAATGTACAAGTACCCTTTTTAGTAGCAGGTGTAATTGGGATTTAAAAAAATTTTTTTTAAGTTGTGTTTCTTTTTTTTAATCCTCACCCAAGGACATGTTTTCATTGCTTTTTAGAGAGAGGAAGGGAGAGAGAGAAACATCGATTGGTTGCCTCCTGTACATGCCCCGACCTGGGATTGAACCCAAAACATTTTGGTGTATGGGATGATGCTCCACCTAAGTGAGCCACCCAGTCAGAGTAAAAGTGTTTTTTGTTTTTTTTGGGGGTACGTGCCCCTAGTGGGAACCGAACCTGGGACTCTGGTCCACAGGCCGTCTCTCCAACCGCTGAGCCAAACTGGCCAAGGCTGTGTTTCTTTTAAAAAGCAAATTTCAGCACTGTGACCCAAACTTCTATAAGTGACACACGGAAAACCTTAAGCCATAAATAAAAATAATGAAGAAAAAGGAAGGAGAGGACCATAACTTTGAAAATTAGCAACAAAGTAACTCATATCAGGAACTTTTCAAAATCTAGGAGCAGAAAGATTTGAAACTTTTTTTTTCTTGGGAAGGAATTTCATGTCCCAGAATTAAAATTTAAATGTAGTGTTCTTATAACCGAGGGAAGGTTGACTTTGATTCCCAAAGCTTTCCAACTTAGATGAATAAATGCTGTCATGGACTAAAGCCTTAAAGCAGTTAATCTTAATCTTGAACATTCACAATTTTTCTTCTCAGATTTCTTTAAAAATGATTTGTTAAAAGTACTTTCTCCTATACCCTTTAAAAGTGGCTTTAAAATTTAATATACTTTTTAAAAAGTGCAATAGGATGAGATTATGCTGTTAGTATATTAAAAGCATGTTTTTGTTTCTTAGTTGTAAGGTCATTTAATGGAATAAAGATCACAGCATCATGTTGTCTTTTTTTTTCCTTTTCTCTTTAATGTGGAAGTAGCTTTGGGCTTGGCAAAGCAAATAGGATATCTAAGAGGATGGATAACTTGGTGTCAAATTGTAGTGGTAATGTGGTTTGAGTGAGTCAGCTTTCTCTGTCCTAGAAACTACTGAACGAGTATCTTACTAGCATAGTGCTGGAGAAGGTTATTCTGTTGGTGGTGCTGTTTATAATCAAATACAAATTTTATGTATAGTAACATGGACTTCTGAGGACCCTTGAATTTGTGACACTCATTTGGTTGTCCCATCTGGATCCAACTGGTTAAATGGTTCCTGTTTGGGGTGGGGTGAGGTAAAATCCTACTGAAAGCTTTCCCTTTCATTGGCCACCTTGGAGTCAGTGGGGAGGTGGCATTGAACATCTCATGTATTCACTGATCACTAGATATGCCAACTTAACCCTACAGTAAAAAATGTTTCCCTAGTTTGAAACCCTGGGAAGAGTCAGTAGCCTCCATCCATCCATCAGTCCCTGGTGGTGGCTGTATGTCAGGTGCCATGCTAGATGTTACACTGGGGTCCTCACAGTTCAGTAGGGAAGGGGCAAACCCACACGGTTATGATTGGAAGAGTATGGTGAAAACTCGGGTGCTATCTTCAGAGTGCTGATGCATCACTATAAGCTGGAAGGAAAGACCAAGGTGGGGAAACTGGCCATGTGTGGATGGGGAGAAGTCAAGCAAACTGGCATGTTTTTGGCACTTCGACATTCTTGCCTTTGATTAGCATATATCAGTTTTCCAAAGATAAATCCAACTCTAGATTTTTAGAAAAGGGATGGTAACAGAAAAACTGGATGTCTAAGGAGTAAAACTGACATTAGGCACTGGAAGAAATAAAATGCCAACAGGCTATTTTCTCGTCTGCGGTGGCCAAATTATCGGCTCTTGCAGAAGGAGTTCCTTTGTGCTGTAGGGGAGGGCAGGCACAAATGGTTCCCGGCTTGCATCATCCCATTTTTATATCCCCAGAGGAAAGAGACTTTTTTTTTTTTTACCCACTGCCTGTTTAAAAATAGGTGTGTATATATAGCTCCATCCTAGAGAAAGCTCCTGATTGGTCTGGCTTGGGGCATATGTTCCTTCCAGGGCCAATCACTTGTTGGGGGGCTGGGGCACAATAGCCAGCCAGACCTAGGTTTCATGTCTCTAGTCAGGGTGATAGGGTACTGTGATTGGCAGCCTCACCAGAACCCCACAATCGCCAAATGAAAGACTGCTGGACAGAAAAACGAGGGTCCACAACAGTTCCCAGTTCCCCGGACTGGCCATTTAACACTGAATGAGAGCCTGGAACATCCGGAGTGTCCCTTTAATGGGAAGTAGAGGTGGTTATGCTGCACACAATGCAGTGGGGGTGTCAGGGACCGTTTCTCTCAGTAGGACTTGAGGTGTTTTAGAGATGGGGCAGGGTTCAGGTGGAAGTTACACTTCGTCTTCAGAAAAGCCTGATTTTTCTGTTCAGAGCAAACTGTCCAAGTTGGTGTATTCACAAAGCCTTACCAGAGTAGCCTGGGTGTGTGTAAAGAGCCGGTACAGATGGCTGCGGGAGCACCTTTCTCCAAGGAGCTCCCATTTTGAGAGTTGCTGCTAAGCAACAGAACCCCTCATATTACCACAAAATGCTCCCCTCGTTCTGCTCCTTGTGTGTAAAGAAGCATCGCAAACAGTCTCCCATAAATGCTGCCCCTACTCCCCCACCTCTCCTTTCCTCTGCCCTGGCCTTGCTTCCACCCCTACCCACCTGCTCAGAATCCCCACACGGGGCATCTCGACCACCGACATGCCATCCAGACTGAGGAAGACCGAGAAACTTCGGGGCCACGTGAGCCACAGCCATGGCCACATCAACAAGCACAGGAAGCACCTGAGAGGCCCAGGTAATGCTGGTGGCTGGCATCGTCACAGGATCAACTTCGACAGGTATCACTCAGGTACCTCTGGGAAAGCTGGTATGAGGCATTACAACCTGAAGACCCAGAGCTGCTGCCCACCTGTCAACCTGGATAAACTGGACCTCGGCCAGTGAGCAGACACGGGCAAATGCTGCTGCTATGACTGATGTGGTGTGATCGGCTACTGCAAAGTTCTGGGGAAGGGAAGGCTCCCAAGCAGCCTGTCACCATGAAGGCCAAGTTCTTCACCAGAAGAGCTGAGGAGATGAAGGGTGTTGTTGGGGTCTGTGTCATAGTAGCCTGAAGCCACATAGAGGAAAGTTGATTAAGTGCTCACAAGTGCAAAAAAAAAAAAGAACCCCACATGGCATTCAGCCTTCTGCCATTGTCTCCCACTTTCTCAGCTACTCCTTCATAGAAGACTCAGCAAAACAATGGACTCTCCTGGGGGAGCCTTCCTCCTCGGCAGAGAGACTGCAAGTAATTAGATGAACACATTCCTCTGTCAGGGGTCCATAGCTATGGTTACAGAAAAGACTGGAGGCTTTGGAGGCATGTGACAGTTTGATCCTGTATGGTGGTGACCATGCGGAATGGGGTTGAGGACAATCCTGCTGACAGTGCTGCCATTGTGTGTGGTACTTCCCAGGGCTGGGTCCTTCCTTACAGAGCTCCTCATTTGAGAGCTACTTGAAAGGTAACCATATAGAACCTGACATCTCTGCCCCTCCCGACGCCTTTTGTTTTTTTGTTTGTTTTTTATTTTTGTTTTTGGCACAGCAATAGGACGGGGGATGGGGGGAAAGCAAGGACTTTGACTTTTGAACAATTCTGGAAGCAGAGGATGAGGAGAGGCAGAAAGCAGTCTGATTTCCTCAAAACTGCACCTCTCCATCCTGGGTTTGGACTGCCTCACAGCTGGTCTCTTGCTCAACGTGCACAACACCTTGTTGGGTGAGTGGTAATGCACAGAAAGCCCTGGTATTTACTTATGTTGCCTCCTTGTCAGGAAGCTGGTGAAGACGTGTGAAATTGATGAGCATATGCCTTGCCTCATGTTAATAACATGATTTGCCACATGCCTGACATGAGGCTCAGCACTTTATTTTTTTATTAAAAAAAATATTTTTTTTAATCCTCACCCGAAGACATTTTTTTTGCATTTCTTTTTAGGTAGAGTGGGAAGGGGGGGTGGGGAGAGAAACACGGATGTGAGAGAGACACATTGACTGGTTGCCACCCACACGACCCCAACTGGGGCAGGAGACAAATTGCAACAAAGGTATGTATCCCTACCGGGAACTGAACCCAGGACTCTCTGGTCCACGGGCTGCCGCTCCAACTGCTGAGCCAAACCAGCCAGGGCAAGGCTCAGCACTTTACAGCATCATCCCATTTGTTGCTCTCCCTTTGGGGAATGTAGTTTTATATATTATCTTACATGTTGTACAGTATCATCATCACTCTATTTTACAGATGAACAAAGTGAGGCTTAGAGAGGGAAGGGTGCCTGGATCCTATAAGTAGCAATGGACTGGGCCAGCATTTGGCCCAAGTGTCCTGATTCCAAGGCTCAGCACTATCTGGGAGAGGGGGAAACATGGAGATGGACAGGAACTGATTCTTCTCTAGTAGAGTCACAGCCCAGTGCTGGGACTGGCCTGTGTTTGGATATTCAATTCATTCATTCGTTCGTTCGTTCATTTGTTCATTCATCCATGGGATGCTTATTGTGGATCAGGTTTGGGGGAATATCTAATGACTTAAGACCCAATAGTCAAAAGTATTTTCTGTCTGCTAGACCCTTGTCTTCCAGTGCCTTAACATTTCATATAGTTGTGTTTTTTTTAATCCTCACTGAGGATATTTTTCTATTTATCTTCAGATAGAGTGGGAAGGGGAGAGAGAGAGAGAAACATCCATGTGAGAGGGACACATCGATTGGTTGCCTCCCGCAAGACCCTGACTATGGCTGGGAATGAACTGCAGCGGAGGTACTGGTTGCCTCTGGAACGACCCGACCAGGGCAGGGAGTGAACCGCCACCGAGGTACGTGCCCTTTACCAGAATCAAACTAGCGACGCATTGGTCTGCGGGCCGGCGCTCTATATGAGCCAAACTAGCCAGGGCTCATGTAGTTCTTTTTTTTTTTAATCAAATATATTTTTATTGATTTTATAGAGAGAAAGGAAGGGAGAGAGAGAGAGGAACATCCATGGGCTGCCTCCTGCAGTCCCCTACTGAAGATGGAGCCCCCAACCTGGGCATGTGCCCTACCTGGAATCGAATGGGATCTCAGTCCATAGGGCAACACTCAATCCACTGAGCCACACCGGCGGGGCTACATTCCACACAGTTAAATACAAGCCCGCTCTAGTGCAGGAGACAAGCTGCACTCCAGTGTGATGTGCACACGGGGACCTAGTATAAAACAACACCGTTCCTGAACCTTAGACGCCCTGCAGAGCGTGTGTGGACGGGGGAGGAGGCAGTGGCCCGGAAAAGGTTCCGCGGGTGGGTGCCGCCCCTCGGAGGAGCGCGGGGAGGGGCGACCCGATGAGTAGGAGGTGTCTGTCTCGGAGGCTGGAGCAGGGTTCCCGGTGGCCGGGCAGGAAGCTCTGCGAGGCTCTCAGTTACACTGGGAGGGGCCGGCTGACCTCACTCTGGTCGGACCGGCGGCCTTTAAACCCGGTGCCTTTGCCGCTGCGGCCGTGCTGCCCCCCGAGTCTGCGAGGTGGGTGAGGATCTGGGGGTGCCCGAGGGCTATGTGGGAGACGGAGAGGTGGGGTGAAGCAGGGGCAACTTCGGCCTCGGAGCCCCGCGGGCCGGTGGCGCAGCTGCGCCCCATCTAGTCCGTCCTCTCAGCCTAGTGCGGGCAGGGAGGGGGCAGGCGAGCGGCTCCAAGGGAGGGAGCCTTTGTTCCGAAGGATCTGAGACCGACTGCCTGGTCTCCCTGCAGAAGCCACCGTCCCCTGGGATCTTGGGGACGCTGCTACCTGTTAATGACATAATGAACCCTGCTCCCCCTGCCTCAGGCGCTTACGCAGCTGATAAAGCAAACTCCAGCCTGAAATTGAGGGTCCACAGCAGGAAAGAAGATGCGGGCGCCCATTGTAAGTGTGGGGCGGGCGTGGGCTGGGGGTGGGGGCCGTGTTTCAGCGTTGACTCTCCAGGAGCCAGAGTTATCACTTCAGAGAGAGGATCCTCGCGGAGGTGAGCCACACCTCTCTGTGCCCTGGGCAGCGGGCGTCAGAGGTGGGACAGCAGGCAGCGGCTCGAGTTGTCTCCGTTCTTGAACTTGCGTGGGCAGCCCCGGGAAGGCAGGGCCTGCAGAAAGAGGGAGGCAGCAGGGCGCCTTGCGCTGCACAGGTCGTGTGCTGCCTTCCGGAGTCAGACCACATCCCTTGGGCTGGCCCCTGGGGCTGAGTGTCGAGGGCTGGACCTGGCGCCGCCTGGGTCTGATCACAGGCCTTTTCTGGCCTTAGCGGATGCATCTCATGACCAGCCCTGTCAGCAATTACCCAGCTTTTGCTTTTCCTTTTTCTAGCCTACGACATGATTCAGAAATCATAAAGGGGCTCAGCGAACACTTCCTTGCAACTTCGCATTTCTGGCTGCAGAGAGGGTTAGAGTGCAGCTTTGGAGGTAGACCCACCTGGGACCTGTAACCCCCAGCACCTAGCGGTGGAACTTAGATCAAGTTTCAAATCCATTCTGTTTCCTCCAGTGAAGATTTTGTAACTAGGAAGTGCTCAGAACAGTGCTTTGCAAACATATGAAATGCTCAGCCACAATTCACTATTATTATTATTAATTTTAATTTCAAAAGCTTCTCTCATACAAAACAACAGATACACAAATAGGAAAAGCCTTCAGCATTAGGATAAGTTTGTCAGAGATTCATGAAAAACCCCATTTCATAATACTTTCCAGAAAGTGCAATACTGCCTTTTTAAAAATCAATTCTGGTGGCTTTCAACTATCCCCACATTTGAAACATTTTTACTAAAACATCTTCACCAGAAAAGTCACCGTAAGTTTTTATCTTATTTGGCAAAGTTCTCCCACATTTTTCTTCTGCAAAAATCAGAGAAAATAGCTGAATGATGGAGACACATGTTTAATCCATTACTTTCGAAGAGTCTAGTTGTTGGTGAAAATGACTCAGGCTTTCAAACACTTCTCTTTTGTTTTTTTCTGCCACTGGGAGAATAGACTCTTGTCTTCTGTTTAAACACAGGAAAATGTAGGGTCACAGGGGCTGGCGACACAAATCCTGTGAAAAGTCAGCTCGAACCATGCTGAGTGATTTGGGAAATTATCATTGGAACAGACACACGTAGCTGAGTGTGTTGGGGGCTGATATCTAACTGGGTGCTCTCTAATTGAACTTTCTTGTAGAAGACAAATGTTTTTAAAGATTAAGAAATAAAAACGGGCTAATTTGAGGCTCACATATATATTATTAAATCTCAGAACTAGAACTTAAATCTGCAGAAAAAAAAGTTAGAGCAAAAGAATAGCTTTGGGGAGAGTTGTATTTTATCACTGATGTTCTTTAAAATTGTCAGCACGTGCAGACAATAAACAGGAGACTGACTTTTGGTGTGTCTTATTATTGTTTTAAAATTCTCTATAGACAACTCACTCCTATTTGCACCCAGGAAATTCAGCTGCCACTTCCCCACTGTGGGTGAGCCACTACCGGCTCGTAGGGCTGAACAAAACGCAGCTGTTACAGCAGCGCCCGGACCTCGCTGGGATGGAGAGGCTGCATGTCTACCATAGGGTCTACGTTTCGCTGAGCCCTTTAACCAGCCTGTGATGCCTCCTGGTCGGTGCCAGTAATGGTGTGTCCCTGTTCCAAATGTGCTTAGAGTGAGTGGGACAGGAGCCTTTGCCTCCTCTCCTCCACCCACTTGTCCTTAATCTGTGTTTTGTTGAGCAGCTGTTGCTGGGGAAGTGAAGATCCAAGTGAAACCGAGTCCACAATATGAGGCAATGGACGGGCCTGCTCTGATCTCTGACTTTCTAGGCTCCCTTCTCGGCTTCTCTCTGACCCTCTGTTTGCCTGATGTGCTGACAGGTCTCTGTGGAGCAAGTTGAAGTGCAGAGAGGAGCAGGGAGGAGAGGACCCTTCTCAAAGAGCAATGGGGCTTTTGGCCCTACAGAGGTTTCTCCTCCTCCTGGAGGGGCCGCAGGCTTGGAGGGCCACACGCCTTTGCTGAGAACGTTGTATGTGCCAGGCTGGCTGCTCAGTCTAGCTGGAAGGCTGGGCATGGAAATGATCACTCCTTCCCATCGGCTCAGCCCTCAGTTACAGTTGTTGGACAACAGGGCTGCGGCCTTGGAGGCAGCAGCAACACTCTGTGCTGGGGCCTTGGGGAGGCAGTGAGGAGGTAGAGGTGTTGAACCTGTCTTGAGGGATGAGTAGGAGTTTGCCAGTGAACAGCCAAGAGAATTTCAGGCCTAGAGTACAGTGATATAGAGGCAAAGTTGCCATGGGTTGTCACTGGATGTCAGAACCTTCGTGTGAATTACTTGGTATTGTGGAAAAAACCTTGGCCTTGGCACCTGGCACTACTTCTTGGAGAGAGCTGAGACCGTGGGCAAGTTACTTCCCATCTCTGAGCCGTTTCCTGGTCTGTGAAATGGACGCTGTAGGGAGTCCAGATGTGTGTGACAACCCCCAGGAGTGCCCGGTGGGGTTGGGGGTAGTTTCCAGACAAGTTGGGGACAGTCCTGATTCACGTGGGGTGGGTTTGAACACATAGAACAGGTCTGGGGCTTGGAGAGCAAAAGCCTGGAAGGCGGATGACTTTTTTTCCAGAATACTCATAACCTTTGGATTCATGGTGCTGGGCCTAGTGCCTGCTGGAACTAACACTGTCCCTTTCCCAGCAGCTGGCAAGGGCAGAGGTGATGTGTCAGCCCAACCGCTCCCCTCCATCTTCTCTCTGGGCCTGAGGCTGGGGAGTCTGGCAGTCAGGCCTCCTCCTCATGCTCCCTGCACCCACCCTGCCGGGGGCACAGTGTCTCAACCCTCTCCTGGGCATAAGTGGTTTTACACCTTTCCCCCTGTTATCTTATTTACTTCTCGCACAGACCCTGCCTGTTGGGTCTTAATAGCCTTGTTTTACCAGAGAAGCTCAGAGAGGTTAAGTGATTCCTGAAGGTCACACAGCAAAATTGCAGAGAGGGGCTCTATCTCGGTTGGACTGTGAAAGGCAACCTCAGACGCAGATAGATGGGACTGATGGCCAACTCCTCATGCCTTTCTTCTCTTCCTAAAACGCTGTCAGGGAAACTCGTGTCTCCCAGCTGGCAAGTCCCTTCTCGGCACCACCTGGGACTTCAGTCTTTTTTCTTTTTTTTTAACACATGCTTCTAGACATTTCCCCAGAGTGTCAGAAACAAAGGGCATGAGGTCAGGGATTTCCACACTCACCACAGCAAGGAGAGAAACTTGTTCCCAGGCTGGGTTTCACAACCTTCAAAGTGTCTCCAGCTAGTCCTAGAGCTGTCTGGACCTTTCCAAATCAAACACAGAACAATGGGCCCGGGCCGGTTTGGCTCAGGGGTTAGAGCGTTGGCCCTCAGACCAAAGGGTCTTGGGTTTGATTCTGGTCAAGGGCACGTGCCTCGATTTCGGTTCGATCCCCGGCCCTGGCTGAGGTCCTGCAGGAGGCAACCTATCAATGTGTCTTACTCACATCAATGTTTCTCTCCACTCCCCGCCCCCACCTGAAAATCAATGGAAATAAAATCCTTGGGTGAGGATTAAAGAAAAAAAAAAAAGAACAATGGCAGCAAAAATTGCCATTTATGGCCCTAGCCAGGTAGATCAGTTGGTTAGAGCTTCGTCCTGATACCTCAAGGTTGTGGGTTTGATCCCTGATCAGGGCACATGCAAGAATCAACCAATGAATGCATGAATAAGTGGAGCAACAAATCAATGTGTTTCTCTCTCTAAAAATAAATCAATAAAAACAATTAAAAAAAACCCTGCCATTTATAGAATGCGTCCTATGTGCCGGGCAGTATTTGCTGAGTGTTTCATAGCTATGAACTTACTTGATCTTCAGGAGACCCCCACGGATCAGGTGCTGTAATGATTCCCATTTGACCGCCGAGGAAACAGGCTGGGAGAAGCTGAGTAGCCCCAGCTATCCAGTTAGTAAGTAGCAGAGCCGGGATTTGAACTCCGGCTGTCTGCTGTTTCTGAAAACTAAATCCATCTTGACCGAAACACGGAGCAGTTGTGCTCATTAGCCTACTTTCTGCATTTTTTGTATGCCTGAAATATTTCATTACAAAACCAAAACAGCAGACGCCTAACGATGGAGCTAAAGGAGGCTGGCTGTGGGTGGATTGGAAGACTCCTTGGTGGCCTGATTAAAAATAACCTTCTTGTTGTGTTTCAACTCTTGGGTTGAAAATTCTTCTAAAAGTGCCCTGTTTCCTCTCGGACGGTCCAGTGCCCACGGCAGAGGGCTCACCCTGGGTCAGAGGTGCAGCTGGCCGGGGTGCTGGGCAGGGCCAGGGGTCTGGGCTGGTGCAAGCAGCCGGGGCTGCTTCCTTTGCCTGTGGTGGGGCAGGGGCTGACCCTGCTGGGTGACCTCATCTCCCTCAGCCTCAGCTTCCCTCCTGCGAAGTGAGGTATGACTGCCCACTTAGACCAACCTTTCCGCCTTACTCCTCTCTCCCCTTCAGGCTCCCTCTCCTGTGGTTCTCACTCTGGGCTGCACAGTAGATTCACCTGGAAGCTTTAAAAAAAAAAAAAATGCCAGCCTTGGGCTTCATCTGAGGGATCCTGCTTCTGGCCAAACCCCCAGGCACCCTGAGGTCCCCGCCCGCCTGTCGCTGTGCTTTTGCTCTGTAGAGCTCTCTGCCCCACCCCTGTTTGCCTGCCTCCCTCTAGCCCCCGCAAAGCCACTTCCTCCCTCAGCCTTCTCTTCTGGCGGGAGTGTGAGGGTGGAGAGTGTAGCACTTGGGTTTGAATGCTGCTCTGCCACACACCTGTTCCCTCTCATCTCTCAGGACTTGGGCAAAAATCTCAGGTGCTGCCTTTTCTAGCGTCACCTCCATCGGCTCCTCGCATTCTCTCTTAAAC